CTCAATTAAACTAAAGCTTAAAAGAAGTTGACGTAGATGCGATTATCCTCGGGAATGTTTTTATTAAGTCAAAGACTTGGCAATATTAATAACATCCCATCGTTATTCGTTTGTTTTATTCATAACATTAACAGAGTTAGATTATTCTGAAGTAAGTTCTGAATCTTATTTATCACAATTTTCCTTCCTTCTCTGTTTGAAAGGCAATCGGTTTGATTAGTGTGACCGAACTATAACAACTTCAAATGATGTTCAGAGCAAGTAACTTTTAGTCTCTTCTTCCGGTGGAAAGCCGTCCCCATTTGATTTACTAATGTCCTTTCAGAAATGGAGGCTCACTTAACAGCAGCAAACTGAAACTAAATTGAAGTATTACTCGTTGCCTCGTCTGATCCTCCATCTCCTCTGTGGACACCAATATTTCGGCCGATCGGCTTGTGAAGAACTAGAACATATGAAATGTGCCTGCACATCCATCAAAGCGTACATATGTAGTGTCTGCACTCGAGTAGCTCCGGAGTGCTATCGGGGGCATTAATCTTCCGCCGCCAGTTCTCTGCTGCAATCACATCTGGTAACGGCTGGTGCAAGTCCCCGCCGACAAATTTATCACATCAAGTATTTGCCATTGACCATGTAACAACTCAGAAAACCAATCGGGCTAAACGTAGACATGTCCACGCTTAGGAGCTTCCTATTGACGTCCACGTGATTACACTGCTGGGAACTTGATGATATTTGACTCGATTCCCATGTCCGTAACAGCGCTTACGAATTTAGTGAAATCGTGTAAACACTCGCTCTGGTGAATTATTGCCGGACATAGTTTTATCGTATCCGCAAGCTTTGCCCATTTGTAACATGCAACCTCTAGTGGCAGGAAAGTTATATAGGTTTTTTTTTCTAAGCGTACTTTATTTGTTCCAAAACGAAATTTCTTGTCGACGACTACAATGTCGATCCCGAGATGGAAACTGTTGAATACTAAAAAACAGAGACTGTATAAGCGGCCTCTGGCAACGCTGAAGCAAAATAATCGATAGCTGTAAGCCCTTGATAATTCTCTATTAACCTGTAAGCCCAGGATGTGGAAGTATCAGCGCTAAAACAATTCGCAACATTTATTTTCTTTACTTTCCAGACCTAGAAGGCATCTCCATGCCCTCCAACTGTACTTTCAAAAATACAGCCAGATGCCTACTGGATCCGGATGGATCAGGATAGGATGAATCTGTGAAGAGTGTGTCATTGCCGTCCTTGAAAATAACTCGACGTCGATCAGGACAGAAAAGCTGATCAGACTGACGGCTGGGGACAACTATGCTGGTAGTGGAAGGATACCGTGTTACGCAGAGAGCCCACGATGGGACTCACTGGATCTTTTCTACCAGTGGGGAAGATAACTCAGCAGCTACGGTGGTTAAATTCGTGGGTAGATTATCCCCGGAACAACAAGAAAAAATAGCTAGAACAGACGACGCAGCTAAGCGGATTCACAGATGACAAGAATTTGATGCGCCTTTGGCCCGCGTTATAAACACTAGCCAAGAGAGCAGTTCAAAGTTTAATTCTACATTCGGAATGTGTGTCGCAGATAAACGCCACGTAGAGAATTCGATTAAGGCGGCCCGAAATTATTCTCGACTTTTTGGGAACAAACAGTTTCCCCAAGTAAGGGAGAATAAACTTGAAACATTGTTTGTTTTTTTGGTGAAGATATAAAATGTTTGCGCGACGATCAAAGCCTCCAAGTTGTAACAGTAATTGAAAAAGTCGTCGCTCACGCAGGATCTAGTGTGTAAGCTACCATCCATGGTGGTGGGGTTTTGGGATATACACAAAGCTTTTTTAATGTCATATACTTTTACAAAGTTAATTACGTGGCTATCGGAGATGGCAGAAAGAGCGAGACAGGGGATCGGAGATGGGGATGGAGAGAAGCACCCCTATTAATGCAGTAGACTGCCGGGATGAACTTGTATGAGGACACCTCGGTCAGACTAGACTTACTAGACTAGTCTCCCGCATTGGCCAAACGAAGCTATATGATCTTCGAGACGTTCATTCGATCAATTCTCTTGATCTTCCGTCGCAACCGTTGGATACAGCACACCTGAAAGCACAGCGCAGATATCCTTGACCTCCACCCAACAGCTCCAACAGTGGGGATGAAGACAAATTCAAACTTTCACGTGATTTACACGAGATCTTGCGCATCCTTGAGCAGTGCCTGAATGAGCCTTCTTATTGGATGTTTTGAGACAAATCTGCTGCGGAGTTATAAAAATGAAAAGCTGCCGATTAGCCTACCGCTAGCCCTTAAGAGGGCAAGATGCTTGTATCATAAACTGACTCGCAAGCCGGAGCTGACGAAGGAAATGCGACGACAACTAGATGAGTACGTGAGGAAAGGCATGCACGGCCCCTAATGGCGGAAGAAGTTGAGTAAAAACCATATTGGTGTCATCCTATTTTTCCCTGCTCCGCATAGTCTAGGATGCAGCCGTGAAGACTGAGAGGCTCTCGGTGAATACGGTTCATACGAGAAAGTGCGTTCCGTGAAGATGACTAACGACCATTGGACGAGATTCTGAGGGCCTCCTTGATAGAGGCGGATGCGATCGTCAACTCGCAACCTCTGACTAACATTTTCGTGGAAGATTTCATTTTCTGCTTGGATGCTCAACTGGTAGGGGGCCGACATAGTGCTGGATGGAACCACAACAACTGGAGGACTCGTTCTGGAACGATGCCTTTAAGAATACCTGCCAGTGATAACTAGGCGCTCCTAATTGTGTGAGAAGAGCAAGCCACTCGCAGTAGGCGGCATCGTGTATGTGTGTGACTCCGGACAGCCGCGATGCCAGTGGCCCAGAAAGGAAAACATAATTTTTAATATTATTGTCCACGCAGTTTTTCGCGGTTTTTAGGCGTTAGAGTGGGCGTGGCCAGATGAAAAATAAACTCCAGCTTCAGTGGCACCTCTAGGATACATATGCCTAAGCCTAACTTTCTAGCTCCCGAAATGATAGCGTTTTTGGTTTTCCTTATATTTTGGGCGTTAGAGTGCGGGGGGCCAGATGGGGAATGCGCAGATGAACTGTCTATCACTTATAGTTACCGAGATATGTATCTGCATTTATAAAAAAAAACATCTTTCGAGCTTGGTGGGCGTATGAGTGGGCTTGGCCGATGATCATAACGGTACCATCATTATTCATGGTTAGTTTTAACCTTCTAGTTATAATATTTCCTTAGAATTCAGTTTTTTTTAAGTTTTCCTGATATGTGGGTAATGTGATAATTTGCGCTGCGTAGGGACCTAAAGAATCTACACGCTTAATCTAAATGTTGTACCCTTTTTAGTTCCTGAGATCTCAGCGCTCATATGAACAGACGGACAGATGGGCATCTATTAATCGCCTTCAATATTGATACTGAACGTAGAAAAATACGAATAATATTAGGACAGATTTTCAGTTATCAGTTTTTTTTATTTCAATATATAATATTTTATTTCACCTTATCGTTCATACGGACAGACGGACGGACAGATGGACATCGATTAATCGACTTCGCTATTGATACTGATTAAGAATATATGTATACTTTATGCCGGAAACGCTTCAGTCGTACTTTTAACGGGTAGAAAATTACCCAAAATATTAGGACTTTCTTTTATGAGATATAAATTATTATACCCGTTACTCGTAGAGTAAAAGGGTATACTAGATTCGTTGAAAAGTATGTAACTGATAGAAGAAAGCTTTTGCGACCCTAGAAAGTATATATATTCTTGATCAGGATCAATAGCGAAGTCGATTGAGCCATGTCCGTCTGTCCGTCCGTCCGTCCGTCCGTCCGTCCGTCCGTCGGTCCGTCCGTCCGTCCGTCCGTCCGTATGAACGCTGAGATCTCAGGAACTATAGCAGATACAAAGTTGAGATTAAGCATGAAGATTCTTGAGGTCCCGGGACAACGCAAGTTTATTACAGCATCCTGCCACGCCCACTCTAACGCCCACAAATTGCAAAAAACTAAAATTGCTGAAATCTCAGGAACTATTGCAGTTAGAAAGTTGAAATTCAGAAAGTATAATCTTTAGATGACAGCGCATCTTAAAGTAGTACTACTATCCGGCCTCACCCACCCATACGCCCACAAGGCTCAAAAGACGGTTTTCGGATTTTCTAGAAAAGCTGATATCTCGGTAACTATTCGTAATAGAAAGTTCGGATTAAGCATGTAGGTTTCTATGATGCTCCCAATGCGAATTGTTTTCTTCCGATTAAGCCACGCCCACTCTAACGCCCACAAAACCCGAAAAACCAAAAATGCAAAAATCTCAAAAACTATAAGAGCTACACAATTTTGCTTAGAAACACATATTTAGTAGATGCCTCTGCAACTTGCCACGAAGTTGCATTCGGCTCTAACGCCTACAAACCGCGGAAAACTGTGGCGCCTATAATATTATTATGAATGTCTTTGTTTGACCTTGTATAACTTATTTCTGTTAATATCTATCGATTTACCAAAGGTTTTTTAAATCGGAACATTATTTCGCTATTTATGAAGAAATTAAGGATATAGGGCCTCACATGGGCAGTGACGTCACTATATGCATACTCAACATACTTCCTCTGACAATAGGTGGCGCATTGTGAATTTTCACTAGCAAAATAATATTTTAAAATTTTGTAAAACAGTAACGGGTATCTTATAGTCGCGGCACTCGACTATAGCGTTTCCTCTTGTTTTTTACTTCAATATATAAAATTTTATTGCATTATTAAATATTTTTGAAAATGTTTATGTAAAAGAAGTGTTTAAATAAATTTAAAAAATATTTAAATTTATTGTATAATCTAATCATCATACTAATCAATAATATTATATAATAATATATTCAATGTGTTCCTCATTTTACAAAAAGCAATATTGTCTCTAAATAGGTATTAATAAAAGTAATATTATCAAAAAGATTTTTTTTTAATTTTAGCATAACAGAGAATGGACCTTTTGGTGGAAGCTGTCAAGTCCATGGCCCTGTGCCGCCACTCAGCCTATGTAGCTCTAACGAAATAGCAGCAGTCCCGGACATAGACATCGGATCTTTGGGACTAAAGAGTCCCTTAATAAACGATCCAGCATTTTCACATTCCAAATGCCTTCCCAAAATTCATAAAAGTTGTTTTTGTGTGCGTTTTATAGCGGAGCATACTAAAATGCAAGAGGATTCGACAAAAGTAAGTTTTAGCTTAATATTTAACAGTGCCAAAGATTTTAATTTTTCGGGTTTTTACTCTTAAAATTATAAGTGTGTTAAATCTTATGGGATGTAATGCATATAATATACATTCACTATCGGCTTAGCAAGCTGTATCGATCGTCACATATTCGTCTGCTCTTTCCCTTTCCATTACACAAATGTGCTGATACCTTTTTCTAAAGACTTTATGTAGCATGAGAAGTATTTCGTAAAAAAGAATATTTGCCATAAAAAATATCTTCATTGAAATACATTTGTTTTATTTGAAATATATTTCTGAAATTAGAAATAGGCATAACTGCCGGGGTTTAGAAGAAAGGAATTGCTTAAGTTAATTTCTTTTAAAATTTGTATTTCAAATAAAATGGATGGTAGAAATAAAGATATAAATCATTAGATATAATTGTATAATACAATATAATCGTATAATAAAAAAACTGAACGCTATTGAGGGTCATGATTGTCAGATATTCCTTAGTCTGCTAACCAATTTCAAAATAATTTAACCAATAGAAATTGGCTCTATGTACCATACATATTTGACTTAGAAGTGTATAAATCTCTTTGCAACGTTTATCAACGCTTATTTTTGCAACTTCTTGTTACATTCTTCCAAGATCTGACTTAATAATTTATGAATAACATTTATCAGCAATAAAGTCTGTTCTATCTCTTTTTGTAAATTTACTTTGAATCCCAAAACATATGTTTAAACTTGAATACATACACAATAAAATCAGTACGAAATCAAATCTTAACGCAGCCAATTTATTCTGTACTAATTGCGGTTACTATTTCACCTGTTTCTGTACTTGCGACATACCAAAAAAACATATTTCACTTTTACCATTTTGGTAGAGATTGTACATTAGGTGACCCCCGGCTTGAAGCCACAACATTGTTAAAATTGAGACTCCAATTTTAACACCCATCATCGATCATAGTTTTGATCACAACATTTAGAACCAAACTTTCTACCAAACCGTGTTTAAGTTAAGACAGTACAGGTTGACATAAAAACGTTGATCTCAAAATTTGGTCATCCTTCATCTGTCAAAATAGCAACCACATCTTTTGAATAACGATCAACTACGCCTTCGCAATTATAAGGAATAATCTGAACGGTTTATTTGCTAAACATTATTTTGCTGCTTTTAATTGCGAATTAAGCCTCTTTATCTATATTGGAAGGTGATGTTGATAGAATCGATGTTCAGAGAATAAAAGGTGTTTCTTAAAAGCTTTGAACGAATAATGAAAAAAAGGACAACTGAAACTCAACAGATTTACTTAAGTCAGTACAAAATATTGTATTGAAAAAAAAACATGAAGAAACGCGTAAGGTGAGTGCCGCAAGATAAGATACCCGTCACTGTCTTACTCAATTAAAAAATATTCAAAAAGCGGCACCTGTTGTCAGAGAATGCATGTTGAGTAACTAATTGTGGCGTCACAGTCCATACGAGGCCTTATAACCTATATTTCTTCATAAATAGGGAAATATTGTTCCGCCATACAAACATACAGTCATACAGACATACAGACATACAGACATACAGACATACAGACATACAGACATACAGACATACAGACATACAGACATTCAGACATACAGACATACAGACATACAGACATACAGACATACAGACATACAGACATACAGACATACAGACATACAGACATACAGACATACAGAGACTCCAAAATACAGACATACAGACATACAGACATACAGACATACAGACATACAGACATACAGACATACAGACATACAGACATACAGACATACAGACATACAGACATACAGACATACAGACATACAGACATACAGACATACAGACATACAGACATACAGACATACAGACATACAGACAGACAGACATACAGACATACAGACAGACAGACATACAGACATACAGACATACAGACATACAGACATACAGACATACAGACATACAGACATACAGACATACAGACATACAGACATACAGACATACAGACATACAGACATACAGACATACAGACATACAGACATACAGACATACAGACATACAGACATACAGACATACAGACATACAGACATACAGACATACAGACATACAGACATACAGACATACAGACATACAGACATACAGACATACAGACATACAGACATACAGACATACAGACATACAGACATACAGACATACAGACATACAGACATACAGACATACAGACATACAGACATACAGACATACAGACATACAGACATACAGACATACAGACATACAGACATACAGACATACAGACATACAGACATACAGACATACAGACATACAGACATACAGACATACAGACATACAGACATACAGACATACAGACATACAGACATACAGACAGACATACAGACATACAGACATACAGACATACAGACATACAGACATACAGACATACAGACATACAGACATACAGACATACAGACATACAGACATACAGACAGACATACAGACATACAGACATACAGACATACAGACATACAGACATACAGACATACAGACATACAGACATACAGACATACAGACATACAGACATACAGACATACAGACATACAGACATACAGACATACAGACATACAGACATACAGACATACAGACATGACAGACATACAGACATACAGACATACAGACATACAGACATACAGACATACAGACATACAGACATACAGACATACAGACATACAGACATACAGACATACAGACATACAGACATACAGACATACAGACATACAGACATACAGACATACAGACATACAGACATACAGACATACAGACATACAGACATACAGACATACAGACATACAGACATACAGACATACAGACATACAGACATACAGACATACAGACATACAGACATACAGACATACAGACATACAGACATACAGACATACAGACATACAGACATACAGACATACAGACATACAGACATACAGACATACAGACATACAGACATACAGACATACAGACATACAGACATACAGACATACAGACATACAGACATACAGACATACAGACATACAGACATACAGACATACAGACATACAGACATACAGACATACAGACATACAGACATACAGACATACAGACATACAGACATACAGACATACAGACATACAGACATACAGACATACAGACATACAGACATACAGACATACAGACATACAGACATACAGACATACAGACATACAGACATACAGACATACAGACATACAGACATACAGACATACAGACATACAGACATACAGACATACAGACATACAGACATACAGACATACAGACATACAGACATACAGACATACAGACATACATACAGACATACAGACATACAGACATACAGACATACAGACATACAGACATACAGACATACAGACATACAGACATACAGACATACAGACATACAGACATACAGACATACAGACATACAGACATACAGACATACAGACATACAGACATACAGACATACAGACATACAGACATACAGACATACAGACATACAGACATACAGACATACAGACATACAGACATACAGACATACAGACATACAGACATACAGACATACAGACATACAGACATACAGACATACAGACATACAGACATACAGACATACAGACATACAGAGACATACAGACATACAGACATACAGACATACAGACATACAGACATACAGACATACAGACATACAGACATACAGACATACAGACATACAGACATACAGACATACAGACATACAGACATACAGACATACAGACATACAGACATACAGACATACAGACATACAGACATACAGACATACAGACATACAGACATACAGACATACAGACATACAGACATACAGACATACAGACATACAGACATACAGACATACAGACATACAGACAGACATACAGACATACAGACATACAGACATACAGACATACAGACATACAGACATACAGACATACAGACATACAGACATACAGACATACACATACAGACATACAGACATACAGACATACAGACATACAGACATACAGACATACAGACATACAGACATACAGACATACAGACATACAGACATACAGACATACAGACATACAGACATACAGACATACAGACATACAGACATACAGACATACAGACATACAGACATACAGACATACAGACATACAGACATACAGACATACAGACATACAGACATACAGACATACAGACATACAGACATACAGACATACAGACATACAGACATACAGACATACAGACATACAGACATACAGACATACAGACATACAGACATACAGACATACAGACATACAGACATACAGACATACAGACATACAGACATACAGACATACAGACATACAGACATACAGACATACAGACATACAGACATACAGACATACAGACATACAGACATACAGACATACAGACATACAGACATACAGACATACAGACATACAGACATACAGACATACAGACATACAGACATACAGACATACAGACATACAGACATACAGACATACAGACATACAGACATACAGACATACAGACATACAGACATACAGACATACAGACATACAGACATACAGACATACAGACATACAGACATACAGACATACAGACATACAGACATACAGACATACAGACATACAGACATACAGACATACAGACATACAGACATACAGACATACAGACATACAGACATACAGACATACAGACATACAGACATACAGACATACAGACACATACAGACATACAGACATACAGACATACAGACATACAGACATACAGACATACAGACATACAGACATACAGACATACAGACATACAGACATACAGACATACAGACATACAGACATACAGACATACAGACATACAGACATACAGACATACAGACATACAGATACAGACATACAGACATACAGACATACAGACATACAGACATACAGACATACAGACATACAGACATACAGACATACAGACATACAGACATACAGACATACAGACATACAGACATACAGACATACAG